TTACTTACCTTTGTCACAGCTGTTTCCGCTGTTGGGACGGTTTTGCTCATGTTCATCACCACCTTCAGAAAATAAATGCATTTATGAGTTATTATCATAAAATGTTTTATTCCCTGCCTTGCATTTTGGCTGTCTTTTTTTCTGCCGTTTGTTGTTTACAAAAAATTCGTAGTTTTTTATTAACTTTATTTATTAATAAAAGGCTTAAGAGTCGTAGAAAATTATTTGGAGTATTAAATAAATTTTTATTTAAAAATATTATATTTAAATTCTCGTTATAAAAATTATTTTTTATATTTACAATGATTTAAAATTTATATGAAATAAATTACAATACAATTTTATAAAAATAATTTAATGAGATAAGCAAATGTTGGATAATTTTTATAAAAATAATTTTAATGAACTAAGGGAAGGTTGGAGCTTGTTATCGCTCTGAGGATTATGTTTTAAAACTGATGATAAATGCGGAAAACTCACCAGTTTTTATACTAGAGAACTCAATGTACTTTGATCGACACTTATCTCCCTTCTGCACCTAATTTATTTTAATGGATGCGTATTGTGTAATAAAACCCATTAACTTAAAACCCATTAATTAATCCAACCCATTAACTTAAAACCACTTAACTCTTTTCCCTTCTATTATCTCTTTAAGTGATCGCTTACTCATCCCTTTTATTACACAGCCCATTAACCTAGCGCATGTCGTCCATTAGACACGTTCCTTTCTCTTCATTGTATTCCATTACCTTAAGTGCTTTAATGCTCCTCGAAATTCAGTGGTATTTAAGCTCTCGATTTTTCTTTATTTTCTTATTTGATTTAATAAATTAATATTATTTTTTAATATTTTTTAAATTTTTTATATTATTTTTATTAAATTTATTTTTATTAAATTTATTTTTATTAATAAATTAATATTGCATTTATATTTTTATAAATTTTTAATATTTTTTAATAAATTTTTTCATTAATAGATTATTATTATTATTCAATTAATATTAAATTATTATTTTTTATAAATTTTTAATATTTTTTATCCATTATTTTAATTAATAAATTGATAATTTTTTATAACAATTATTTTTTAAATGAAACTCTAACAGCCCCCCCCCCCTTTTTTAAATGGTTGTTTTTTAATTGAAAATTTTTGAAATTTTTTAAATTTTTTCAATTAGAAAATTTTTTAAAATTTTAAATTTTTTAAGTGGTTTTTTAAGTGGGGGTGGGTCCTTAAGTGGGGTTTTTAATTGATTTTTTAGGTGGGGTTTTAAAGTAAAATTTTTTAAAATTTTTTAATTATAAATTTTTAAGTGGTTTTTAATTGATTTTTTAAGTGGGGTTTTTAAGTAAAATTTTTTAAAATTTTTTAATTATAAATTTTTAAGTGGTTTTTAATTGATTTTTTAAGTGGGGTTTTTAAGTAAAATTTTTTAAAATTTTTTAATTATAAATTTTTAAGTGGTTTTTAATTGATTTTTTAAGTGGGGGTTTTTTATAAAATTTTAAAATTTTTAAATTTTTTAAAATTTTTTAAGTGGGGTTTTAATTGATTTTCTAAGTGGGGATTTTTTATAAAAGTTTTAAATTTTTAAAAATTTTTTAAAATTTTTTAAGTGGTTTTTTAATGGGGTTTTTACGTGGTTGTCAATTAATCACTTATAAACCCGTAAGTGATCCATTAATTTAAGTGGTTGTCAAAAACCCCCTTAACAACCCGTAAGTAATTAATGGTGGTATTTAAGCTATGCCGGAATCCTTTTTGTTCTTATTTTTTTATTTTTTGTTATAAAACCGGCTTTTATAAAAATTAATAATGTTATAAAAATGGGTTAGATACTACTAATATTGGAACTGAACGTTTCAAATGTCCAGAGGCCCTCTTTCAAGTGAATATTTTTGGTCTGATTAGCTTATACATATTTGGCTTTTATTTTTTTAATATTGCAAAGAATGTCAAAGAATTGAAATAATCTTTAGAAAACCATTTTCCTTTACTTTGTTTCCCCTTAATATTTTTAATTAAGGCGGCATGAATATTAAGGTGTGAGTTATAAATCCACCTAGTTATTACTACATATGATTTTTTCTTTACAAAAAATTATTTATGAGGCCAGTATTTTTTCAATCTGTTCAAATTTCCTCCTCTTTTGCTATTTGTAAAACGCTGATTTAAGCTAAGTATTCGAGATATAATTTAAAAAGGTTCTCTCTAAAATAAATTAAATTTATCCATCTCTTGAATTTATAATATTTACATATAATATTAATGGTAATTGAGTGAAAATGTTCGGAGATTTTATTTTTTAATTTTCAAGCCTTCGCTTCTCGGAATGGAAACAGCGGGCATTCATGAAATTTGTTTTAATTCGATTATGAAATGCGACCCTCACCTTCATAAAGGTAAGATGATAAATGACAATCAAGCAAGGCTTATATTCCTTTTACAATTTATCTTAAAATGTACATATTCTATTCATGTAAACATAATTCTTTAACTTTTTCAAAGACTAAAGAATTTAAGATTTCCAAATTATATATACGTGATTATTAATATTTAATTTTTAGCATTTTCAATACTTTTATAGACTTATTTAAAAATATTATTCTCTCTGGTGGCTCAACAATGTATCCTGGATTTTGTGATCGAATGCTAAAGGAAATTTCTGCTCTTGCGCCACCATCAACTGAAATTAGAATTATAGCTGCTCCAGAACGAAATAACTCTGTTTGGATTGGTGGTTCCATTGTTGCATCATGTCCTGGATTCAAAGAAATGTACATATATTTTGCTAGATTTGCTTTTTACTTATAATTACAGATATACAACCAAAAAGATGTATGAAGAGTTCGGTCCGTCGATTGTACAGTACTACATATAAATATAATTACTTGAGGCAAAAAGTATATTATAGTACTACTTGAGGGGGATCACCCCAAAGTATCGATGACCCAAAGTATCGAAACCCAGAATGACGAATTACCCAAAGTATCGAAAATTTTTAAATTTTATTATAAAACATTGGGAAGTTTTTCCAATGACGGAAGAAACTTCAATTCGTTGAATTGATCAGGAAGTGAGTGATCAATGAAGTAAGTTATCAATAATGTTAGTGATCAACCTAGAAAATGATCAACCGGGAGTAATTAATCGGAAAAGTGATCAACATAGCTGTTTAGAAACAAAATTATCTTCGGAAATCCGATATACAAAATCGGAAAAAGCTGAGAAATATCGAAATCGAAAATATTCTTAAAAATTTTCTAAGAAGAAAACCGAGTGATGATCAACCGGAAGAGTGATCAAACGAGTGATAAACGACAGTGGTATCGATCATCTCAATGATCAGTATTGAATGACCCAAAGTTTCGAATGACCTCAAGATTAAGTGATCAAATGATCAATATCAGTTGATCAATTGAAAAATTTGATCACAATATGCTTCCCCGTCATTGGAAAAACTTCCCAATGTTTTATAATAAAATTTAAAAATTTTCGATACTTTGGGTAATTCGTCATTCTGGGTTACGATACTTTGGGTGTCGATACTCTGGGTGCGATACTTTGGGTGTCGATACTCTGGGGTGAACTCTACTTGAGGCAGTATTACGGCTATTTGTAATTGAAGTAAAATTAAATTAAAAAGAAAAATATTAAAATAATCTGCATTTTTAATTTTGAACTTTTTAAAATATTTATTCAACAAAACTTGTACTAGTTGGTGGCCGTCAGTCTTTGAAATAATTTTTAATAAAATCCTATCCCCGTATAGAATTTTATATCTACCTAACTCACCCGACATCCGTCGATAATCCCATGGTATTTTCATAAATTTCCTTGATCCCTCCAAATTATCCCTCTATATCCTCTGATATCCTTCATAATCCCTTGTATCTAGGATATCTCTCTAAAAACTTACATGTATCATTACAGAGTCGAATGGGAAACGCTGACTTATAGTAATACTTCAGTTTTTAACTGAAAAATGACTAATACTTGATTAAAAAAATTTTTCCCTATTTTTGCGCTCTTGCGTTTTTTTAGATTGTCTCTTACGCTCATCTCTGTTCTCAATCAAGCAACAAAAAACTCAACAACAGGTTTAACTGTCCGACATTAGTATTTTTACTTAACTATTTTTCCTCGAACTTCTTTAATGAAATAAGCGAGAAAAACCAAGCAACTAAACAATTCAAAACTTCCAATTTCAAAGAAGATCTTAAAGTTCAGAAAAAAATCTTAAAATAAAAGAGGAAATGCGGTTTATGCGGGGAAACGCAGTTTAAAAAAAATTAAATATGATGGGTGAAGTGCCCAATAAAAACATAATGATAAAAATGAGAAAATGGTTTTAGGGAAGAAGGTAAATTTGAATATTGAGAAAAGGTTAAACGAATATTAATTTAAATAACTATTTATTAGTCTAAATTATTTCCTCTCCTCGTTCTATTTTTTCATTTAACATTTAATTTCTCCATTTTTGATACCGATTCTTGGAAGAAAAAATTAAAAAAAACTTTAAGTTAATCTTAACCAAATTCATTATTTGCTTTAATTTTTAGAATTTATTGAAGAAAAAAACTTTTTTCTCTTTTATTTTTTTATTTTATAATTTAATCTATTAAATTTTTAAAATATAAGTTTCTCTGGTCCTCTCAACTTCCTTATATCAAGATTCGACTTTAACTACTAGAGATAATGAGTGACGATAAAAATGTTGCTCTTGTGATCGACAATGGTTCTGGAATGTGTAAAGTATTTATTTATTATTTTTACTACATTGCCAAAATGGCCCGATTCCGTTCGAAAGATCGAAACAGGAATTGTGTATTTACTAATTAGAAAATAAATATTCAGTCAAAAGTAAAACTAATTCAAAATTAGTTTTGGTTATACCTATACTATAAATTTAAAAAATTGAAAAAATTTTATTCAAATTATTTGGCAAAAGTTTAAGTTTATATGTATACCGCATTTTTTCATCTCCCTAGAAAAAATGATAAAGTGTTTTTGGCACTTTTTGAAGGTTTTAAAGTTTCTTATTAAGTTTTTTTTGTTGAGTAATTTTGAATTTCGGTACCCCCTTTTTCCTTCAAGTTGCGTAATGGTCAGATTCGCTTTCTCAATTTCACTATATTTGGTGATAAGATCTTTTTTTTTATTTTATAAACCATTTAAGGCTGGTTTTGCTGGTTATGCCTCTCCTTATGCTGAGTTCCCGTCTATTGTGGGACATCACCAAGAGGGCAGGTTTAGTTCACGTTTGAACAACAATTTTGTTGGAGATCATGCTCATGTTTTGCGTAGAATTTTATCTATCAAATATCCCATAGAACGTGGAATTGTTACGAATTGGGAGGATATGGAGAGAATCTGGTATCACACGTTCTACAATGAATTACTCCGCGAGCCTATGGAACATGCAGTATTATTGACTTAATCCAAAAGCTAATAGGGAAAAGATGACTGAAATTATGTTTGAGACATTCAAAACCCCAGCAATGTATACTGAAATACTTTCTAAAAACATTTTGGAAAATAAATTTAATTTACAGTTTTGTTGCAAATCAAGCGGTGCTTTCTTTATTTGCTTCTAATCGTACTACTGGCTTAGTTATTGACTCGGGAGATGGTAAAAATTCAAATGTTTAATTGAGAGATTGTAAACATTTGAATATTTTTAGGGGTCACCCATGCTGTTCCAGTTGACGAAGGTTATGCAGTCCCTCGTGCCATTCTTCGTTTTGACTTGGCTGGCCGTGATTTAACTGATTATTTAATGAGGGTCATTTTTTATTATTCAATAGGCACCATGTGTATTAACTTTTTTACAGATTCTCAACGAGCGTAGATACTCGATTATTAGACCTACTGACCGAAATATTGTTGAAGAAATTAAAGAGAAACTTTGTTATGTTGCAGTGGATTTTGAAAAGGAAATGGCAAAGGAAACTTCTTCCTTGGAGAAAAAATATGAATTGCCTGATAAAGATGTGATAACTATTGGAAATGAACTTTTCCGATGTCCTGAGGCACTCTTTCAGGTGAATAGCTTATTTGGTTTATTTCCCCTTACCGTATTTGCTCTATTAATCCCCCAGTCTTTATTAATCCCCCAGGCTCTATTAATCCCCCACTCTGGGGATGGGTTGAAACAATAATCCCCCAGTCTCTATTAATCCCCCAGTCTCTATTAATCCCCCACCCTTTGAAACAATAATCCCCCAGTCTGTACATTTATTAAAACAATATTAATAATCAAAAAATCATTAACAACATAAAAACAAATCAATCAATATCAAAAAACAAATCAAGTTCTTCCCCTATCGCATCGAGATTTAAATCACATCCAATACCTTCTTCTTCGTCAAAAATGTGTGATTGCTCGTTGCGCCCATCTCCTCCTTTAGAAGTTGCACGCATTTCACGCAAAACAACAAGACCTTTGGGACGGATGATATAAATAAATTTTAAAAAATTAAAAACTACCTCTTTCGCCGATAGGACCATCTGATTTGAAACAAGCAATTGAACTATCAGCTGAACCATCTAGAGGATTTGAAAGTCCACATGCTTATGAAATTATAAAAAATTTAAATTAAAGGAAAATCATATAAATACCCAAGAAAGAATTAACTATCAAATCCTTTGACAACTCAGACCACGCTCTGTAAACCCAATCGAGAACGATATCCAATGAAGGTGCTCTAGGATTTCCAGATGCAGTAAATTCATGCCGATCACCATTTACCATCCATATTTCGTAGAAATATCGTACCTTCTCTTTAAAAGGCTTGTTCCACGATAGGTCCGGCGCCTAAAAATTATTTAAGATAAAACCGTTTACAAACATTAAAAACCTGAACAAACTTCGTACAACCGCCTGGCACAAATGCAGGCTCCAACTTCAACTCCCTCATGACTTTTCTTGTTGCTTCACTCTTATGACTTGCAAATGTGTCCCAAACAAGCATCCGCTTTGATCCAAAAACGCTTGAGCCAATAATCTTTCTGAGATAGTCTTCAGTAGTTTCATCATTCATCCATATCGAGCCGGCCCAGTTAATGACAAGCTTCCCTTTGAATTGCTGAATAATGCGTGGAATCTATCCACCCGAAATTTCTTTGCAGCAGAAGTAATTGAAAGGGTCCGTGCCCATTCAATTGCTTGAAGCTTTGTTGAAGCATCATTACTTCTGTGTCGTTTATTTCTCGTTCCAACTTCTTCAATTTCAAATATTTCGGCATCTGAAGTCATTTTTCTAAAAGAAAAAAAGTAGAAATTAAACCGCGTCAAAAGTAACATCAGAAAATCTCTGAAAAAATGAAGACATCATTAGAAGGAAAAAGACGTTCAGAACGCCAAAATCTAATGGCGTATTTTCAATCTTCAAAACAATTCTCCATCCTACGGATGGGTTGAAACAATAATCCCCCAGTCTCTATTAATCTCTATTAATTCCCCAGGCTCTATTAATCCCCCACCCTAGAGATGGGTTGAAACAATAATCCCCCTGGGGGATTACTAGAGCAAATACGGTATTTACCTTTATAAATTGACATGAAATAATTTTTATTTTTCAAGCCTTCCCTCCTTGGAATGAACATGGCTGGCATTCATCAGACTTCTTTCAATTCGATTATGAAATGTGACAATGACATCCGTAAAGGTGCGTTGATAAATGACATAGTTTCAAGCAAGGATTATACCTATATTTCTTTCTAATTTACCTATTTTTAGAAAGTACATATCAGGGAACGCGCCGACAGAAAATCAAATTCCCAATTTTCAGAAAAAATGTCGTGAATCGGGAATGTGAATTCCCGAGAATTTCGAATTCACGATTTTCGTAAATCGGGTCGGCGCGATCCCTGGTACATATATTAAACTTAATTAGTAAATATACTATATATTAGTTTTAATTACATTGGAAGGGTTGTACGAGAATCGAGATCTCAAAAAATATCGATCTCGATAACCGAGATTTTTTTTCGAGATCTCTAGTTTTAATTTCGAAATAATTCTGTTTTTTTTGCTGAACTATTTCATTTTTAACATTTTCACTACTTTTGTAGAATTATTTACAAATATTGTTCTCTCTGGTGGTACAACAATGTATCCTGGGTTTTCTGATCGTATGCAAAAGGAAATCACTGATCTCACGCCGCGAACAATGAATATTAATATTATAGCTCCTCCAGATCGAAAATATACTGCTTGGATTGGGGGTTCCGTTCTTGCATCACTTTCTACATTCCAAAACATGTATGTACAGTGTCGGTCATTTAGTGATTTTTAATAAAAAAAACTGGATTTTCTAATAAAAAACTGGATATTTTGGGAGATTTTGAGGACTTAAAATTTAGTGTATTCCTGAGAAAAAGAACATTTTTTAGAATAACAGAGCTGGTTTATTTTAGCAAATTTTATGGGCTTTCTGATAGGCATAAAACAAGATTTTTATATAAGCCCTAAGGGATTAAAATATTTTTTGGATTACTGTACCGGATTTCTTGCTGATTTCTGAGAGTTGAGATCTCGTTAGGAAAGCAGTTACAGAGTTCGTTCCTCTTATTACTTTTCTACCCGATATCAATTGAAATATCCATAGGAATTTTTATAGGATTTTTGGACAAACAAAAATGGGTATTTTTAGTTTTATTTTTTTGCTCCTCTTACTTCCACTCCAAAAATTGGGTAGCTTTTTTAAAAAAATTTTATAAAAATTCTATCAATAAATGATTTTGATATTTAGACTCATTTCAAAGAGCACCTAAAGTTCTACAATTTTTGTGTTGAAACTTTTTTTCCAAAGTTAATCAGAAATTAAGAGCCTTTGCTCCTACACACATATCTTATTTTACATATCTTACATATTTAAATTTTTTATTTATAATTACAGGTGGATATCTAAGGACGAGTATAACGAGTCCGGTCCGGCGATTGTACATCGAAAATGTTTCTAACACTATTACGTTTACCACTAAACACTGGACACGGATGTATCAATGAAAATATATTGTAAAGACAGCCTGGCAAAATACTTACTTTTATTTGATTTTTGTTTCCAATTCATTGTTTTAAATAATTTTTAAAAATTTTTCTTCTGAAAAAAACTCTGTCACAAAAGTATAAGCACCCTCGTAAAAATTTAATTTCTACTTATTAAAATTCTTCAAAAAATGCAGTAAACAACTCTATCGATATTATAAAAAATAAGAAAAAAATTAGAAAGACATATCTCATTCCAGTGTCGAGATCTCGAAACCCTTACAATCTACAAATTGAGTATTTTTACTCAGTTGGGCATTTTGAGGTTAGAGGAATTTGCACTGTGGGACAAATTCAGGGTTTTTGTACAGTGGGACGAATCCGCGCAAGTATTTTAATTTTTTTAGTCATGGCGATATTTTAAGAGTGCGGTGTTTTGAGTGGACACGGAAAATTGATTAACCACAAAAATGCAAGAAAAGTTTTTATTTTTCATATTTTTGTTTTTAACAGATTTTTATCAAATATTATTTTTTTAATTTTTACAGTTAAAAAATTTTATTTTTTCTAAAATGTCTTCAAAAACAGATGGAGGAAGCAAATATTTATGTTATGTTTCTATTGCAACACTTAAGCCCGAGAAATTGCCTTTAGTAAATAATTTTTTATTTTTTTTGCGGATAATCCGCAAATATTTTTTATTTTTTAAGGAACTAATTGGGAATGGAGCATGCCGTTCAGTCAACGAATTTGATAAAATTAGACAACTTGGGGCTGGAACTTATGGAATTGTTTATGAAGGGAAGGACAAAAAGAATGGAAAAACTGCAAGTTTTTTTTTGTTTTTAATTTTCAAAAAAATTTTTTTTTCAAATTTTTAGGTAGCTCTTAAACAAGTCCGGTTGGATTTAAAAAAAGAAGGGGTTTCGATTTCTGTAATGAGAGAAATTCAATCTTTAATGGATATTGAACACGAAAATATTGTCAGACTTTTTGATGTTGTTGTGGGAAGGAAAATTGAACAAATATTTTTGGTTATGGAATATTGTGATCAGGTTTTTTTTTTGAAATTATTTCTTTTTTAATTCTGTCCAAAATATAGAGGAACATTTTTTGAGACGGAGGGGTCATTTCCTAAAATAATCTAAAAAATATAGAGTAAAATAGACAAGAATTTGAATATTTTACAAAAACACAATTTGACCATTTTGCAAATATTATTCTGAAATGCATAGGTTAGGCTCGTAGCCAGGATTTTTTCCGAGAGGGGGGCCAAGGGGGAAATTTTTTGCCGCTGAAGGCGCCTAAAATAAAATTTTGAGAATTTTAGAAGGCCGTAGACCAAAAAAATTAACTTTTTGCCCAATCCCTTCCCCAAATTTTTTCCTTTTCCCATTTCGGGGGGGGGGGGGGGCTTGGCATAGGTAAATGACACTTAATCTCAAAATTAATACATAAAAAATAACTTAAAAAAGTTTTTCCCCAAAAAGGATTTAGCTTCTCTTCTGGACAACATGCAGACTCCCTTTAGCGAATCCCAAGTAAAATGTATTTTGCTTCAATTATTTAAAGGTGTAGCACATTTACACAGTCGATTCTTCATTCATCGAGATATTAAAGTTTTTTTTAATTTCAAAAAAAAAAGAAATTTTTTCAAAAATTTTTTAAGGTTTCCAATTTATTGTTGACAGAACAGGGAATTCTAAAAATTGCTGATTTTGGATTGGCCAGACTTTATGGTGATCCCCCTACAGAAATGACGCCCAGAGTTGTTACTTTGTGGTATAGATCGCCAGAATTGTTGTTTGGAAGTAAATACCAATCCCCGGCTATTGATATGTGGGCGTGTGGATGGTTTGTGTTGATTTTGTTTATTTTTAAATATAAAGTCTTTTTGAAATTTTTTTCGACAAAATAATTTTAGAAAAGTTTAGATTATTGATGGGACCTTTACTCTTTTCTGGATTCAGAACTCATTTTGACAGTTTAACATTAGTTCTAGGGTTGGGGTTTTCGTGTCGGGCCGACGTTCTTGTCTTTTTTTGTTTCATTTTTATCGTGCCGGTCCGACCGAGTCTTTTTCGGGCTTAATTTTTATCGGGTCGGGCATCAAATCTTCTGGCCAAAATTCGATGCCCGATTCGATCATTCGGACCGGACCGGGCCCCAAACCTAATTTAGTCAGTCTCGTACTGTGGTTACATAAAAGTCGTTTTGCCTCTTGCAATTAAAAATAGGATTCTTGTTTCCTCATTTTTATTCTATTTTTGGTCGAATGACGTAAAGAGATTTGTAGCCACAACATTTTAGTTAACATTTTTTTCTTTTATTTTTATCAAAAAATAATTTAAAAATTAAAATTCAGTATAATGGGTGAATTACTGCTACATAAACCTTTAATGCCTGGAAAAGACGAAATTGATCAAGTTTAAAATATTTTCTCCAAAAATTTAATTTAAAACAATTATTTTCAGATTAGGCTTATAATTGGACTGTTAGGCACCCCAACAGAAAAAATTTGGCCGGGAATGTCAAAACTTCCAATTTTGGAGAAAATGCAATTAATGAAACAACCCTATAATAATATTAAAGCTTTATTTTCTGACAGAGTGCCCGAATGTTTAAAGCTTTTAAATTCTTTGTTTGTTTATGATCCAAAGTAAAGGAAAAAATTTTGGCGCTGGTTTAGTTTATGCGTCCAATCAAAAAATAATTGGATTTTCCTTCGTATTTCAAAATTGAGGTATGGTTCCAAAACATTTCTTCATGTTCGGGACCTATGGCCACGGGGTCTGGGACCGTTTTTATGCTTTACTTTATCCCGCGAAATTTTTGAAACTTATAGCCAATTTTAAACAATTTCAGAAAAACGATTTTACCTTTCAGAATTTCGAGGGAAGGGTAAGGAACGGTCCCAGACCTAGTGGCCGTAGGTCCATAACATAAAGAAATGTTTTGGTACCATACCCCAACTTTGTAAACTAAGAAAAATCCAATTCTCTTTTGATTGTACGCGTAATAAATAGTTCATTGGACGCATAAACTAGACCAGCGCAAAATTTTTGAAAAATTTTTTAAAAAATTTAACATTTTTTAGACGTCGTTCAACAGCTGAACAGTGTTTAGACAACGAATATTTTAGACTTTCCCCACTCCCTTGTGACCCTTCAATGATGCCGTCATTGAGTGGGTTGACTAGAAAACGAAAAAGAGGAAAGGAAAGTTCCTGAAAATTTTCAAAAATTTTGAAATAAATCTCTTAAAATTTATCTAAAAAAATTTTGTTTAGGCGGCATTTTCTCTTTTCAACACTAAAAACATCAAAAAGTTTACCGCTAAACTTTTTAAATTTTTTTTGGATATATCAAGTTGCAAATAAAAGCCGCCTCCTTTTTAATAATTTTTAAATAAAAGGGAAAAGTTGAAAATATTTATTAAAAATTGTTTTGATTTTTATTTTTTTTAATTTTAAATTTTAAAAATAAAATTTTTGATTCTTTTCGTTAAAAATTAGATTGGTTGGTAACCGGTTATTGACCGGTACCGTCGGTTTTAGGTTATCCCCTGTTTTCGACCTTTGGTTTTCGGTTCCGATTTTTGGCTGATCCTCGGTTTATGTTTAACCATGACCTGGTTTTTTGATTGTATTCTCATTTTCTTTAAATATTTTACAAAATTTTAATAAAAATCTTTTAATGCTTTGCTCCTTTTTAAAAAAAATTAATTTTCTCCATATTTCGATTAAAATAATTATTTAAGCAATAAATTAATTAAAAACGGTTCGAGTCGTTTAAAAAAAATTTTTATTTAAAAAAAGAATATAAAAATAAATAAAGAATAAAAGACATGTGTTTTATAAATAAATCCTCTCCCCCAAAAACATTTGAAAAAAACATTTCATTTTCTTAAAAGCAAATGTTTTCTTTTAAAGGTGTTTTGTGTTGGTTCTTTACTTAAATAATTCAATTCTTTTACCAGTTGTTGTTCATTTTGCAAAAACTTAAATTTCTCTTTAATTAAAAAATTAAATAATTATTTACCTGCTTAAATACAATTTCAACAATAAAATGAATAAAATTCTGTCAAATAAATTTTTAATCATTTTTTGGATGCCGTTTGAATTGTTTTTTGTTTTTATATCAAGAACAGTTGCTTATTCTGATGTAAATTTCTTTTTAAATTTAATTAGTAAACTGAGCAAAAAAAATTTTCATCAAGTAGAGGCATTACTTTCTCTTTTTTATAAACTCTTCCTTGTCTTAACCTTTCCTTTGTTGCTCTCGTCATGCAAAAAATCATCAAAATTTAAGTTTAGCGCTGTAGGCGAGCATTTTCTAATTCCTGGATAAATTTAAGTAAATTCTAATTTAAAAACAGTAATTGAAATACCTAACTGGTATGCACGAGACTTCTATGTATACGTACTAACAAAGATAACAGATAAGACCGTAAAAAACTGTGTTTTATCTACAAGAATAAATATAAGAAAAAATAAAATTAAAAGCTTCGCGCCCAATACGTTGGAGACAGAATAGAATAACAATAGAATAACACTAGAATAGAACTAAGACTACGACTGAATAATAGAAAGGCTTTTATACCAATACCTAACAGTAAATACTTTTTAATTTAATTAAGCCCTACACAATTCAAAGAGTCTACAACGCCCAACAACCCCAACATTTACTTAATTATCAACAACAATGCAATTTACCGCCTGATTTTTGGTGATTTCCTTAAAATTAATAATAGAATTTGAAATATATTTAAGGTGTGATAATTATGAAATAGCACAGAGGTGTAATGTTGTTCAAGTAAAAAATAATTTAAAATTAGAATTTTATTTAAAAAATGACAAGTCTTTTACTGCCTTTTTATTTTTAATTAGTCTGAAAGTTGCAGAAAAACGCCTGCCTGGGCTTTTACTTCTCCCTTACTCAATGGACTTGTTGTTTAAGAGAGATTTGTAAGGATGATTCCCCTAGAACATTTAAAACGCTTAGGATTAACCGATCTAAAAGGATAAAAGGGCTAGCGATGCGCCGGTAGATCAGTGGTAGAACACCTGTATGTGTGTGATTAAGGCCGAGCGATCAGTGTCAACGTTGTCATAGGTTCGAATCCTGTCTGGTGGCTAATCTTTAGCTAAACTCTTTCTGATCTTCTAGCCCCTTTTGTTTTCATTTTTAATAAATAAATTTGATAATTTTAATTAAAATTTACATGAGAATAATTAATTATAACCCTCTTCTTATAAAGCAATGTGAAAACTTCAAACGATCTACTTCAAGTCGGCCCCTAACAATAACTTTAATGTTCGAAGCTTTATGTCCTTACTGCCAAAGATATATAGCTAATAATCTTGGCTCTTTACTTTATAAATTTGGAAACCAAACAATTTTGGAATTGGTGAGGGGGTTATGAGGAATTTTTAAAAATTATTTTTTTAATTATTTTCAGGTTCCTTGGGGAAATAGTCTTTTGCTAAGAAATGGAAAAATATCGTATGTCCATTATATTTTAATTTAAAAATTTTTTAATTTTCCTTGCATTTCGCCATTAATTTATGAATGTTTATAGTTCAAGTGTTTATCCCTTTTACTTCTAATAAATTTATTTTAGTTGTAATCACGGCCCTAAGGAATGTGATGCAAACCGTTTACTTTCTTGTGTAATTAGTGAAGTTTCAGTTTCGCAGTCAGTGCAATTCACCATATGTTTTGAGCGATCCTTGTCAGCCGATTCACCTGTAGAGCAAGCAATGCATACTTGTTCTAGTTTTATTCGGGAAAGATATCGACAAATAAAGTACCAAAAAATTTTTTTAAATAAGCAATTATTTGATAATTTTTAAGGCAATGTTATGTTGGGGAAAGAGGGCAACAGGTATTATTTATTGTCCTTATTTTTAAATTTTTGTTCAAGCTCCAAAGACAAGCTGCTCAACGTACAATGACTTCTAAACCGAATCCAATTGTTGAAGTTCCTTATTTGCTTGTTAATGATTATACACCAAGTTTAGACGGAAATGCTATTAATAATGTTTGTCTTCCACATTTAATACAAAAATGGGTGAATTTGAGAAATGTTTATTAAATGTATTTTTGTTTTTGTTGAATTTTTTTGTATATATAATAATAAAGCTTAATCTTTAATATATGGGAAGGTGGGGATTCTTGGAAGATTTGCGATTATCCAAAACCATATCCATATTATTGAGCATACGTACAAAGGTTTACATATAACCTATAGAAAATAAAAGACGAAGTTAGGTCTACATTGAATGGTATATTACGGTTTTTTAACCAGACCGATAAAGGGCTTTCGTTTATACAAAAAATAGCACTCCAATTTTGCCAGCCAAAACTAAAAAAATTACATGAAATAATTGTTGTTCACTAGCTGTTATTAACCGGTACCCCCAGTTTTTGGTTAATCCAGATTTTAAAAACCCGTTTTTCGGTTTTGAGTTTTAGTTAAATACAGGTTTTATTTTGGGGCCCTGTAATTAAATTTTAATAAAATTCAAAAATCGAAATTTCGAACAGCTTTGCTCGTGTTTCGTACCGGGTACGAAGTAGAATGACTGATCTCTTCTAAATTTGTATCTTCTTTCCCTCTCTCTATACATATTGCCCAATCTTGTGAATTTTTATAGAGCATTCGCGGCACATTAAAAAGATTTTCCCTATTCATTTAAAAATTATTTACTATTGCTTTTAATTTTTTTCATTTAAGAATTTTTATAATAATTTTTAATTATAAATATTTAATTTTAATAAATTAAGACATAAAAAAATAATTTAAATTTTAAAAGTTAAGAAAAAATGAATTTGTTTTTATTAACTTTAATTTTTTCTTTTGAATTAATTCTGCTTGATTTGGCTAATGGAATGAATCCTGAAAGATGTTAGTAATTAAAGTTTAACTCTTGTTATGTATAGTCCCCCTTATTAACCGACCGATCTTTGGATTATAACAGAACTGGGAATATATCGTTTAATGTTTTCCTAATTACCTAGCTATAGTTGGGTCGGCTTTGTCCCCGATAATCACAAAACAGGTATGAGAGATTTATTTTTAAAAAGATTTATATATCCGGTGAAAATTACAACCCCTTTAATTCATTAACTAAAGTTTTCTAAAGGTATATTAAATATAAATTAAGCCGGAAGAAAACGAGGTTCTGGAAGCTCCAGTTCGAAGAAAAAGAAAGAAGACGAACATTTGGAAGAAGAATGCATTATTTTGGGTGGTGAAAGTCGCTTTTACCCAGGGTTTGCATTAAATTAGTCTTTCGTTTCTTTTTAATATATTTTCTTCTCGTAACTTGCCATTTTTTTATTTTCGCCGCGCTCTGATCCCTATGCAAATTCCGAATTTATAAAATGCTGAGATAAGAATGACTGAAACAAAATAAATGAGCAAAAGATGGGAGGCGTAAGAGCTGAAATTTAACAGCTCTGAAATGCTCAAATCCAATACTGAAATTTAACTGTCACCATAGCGCCTTACTTCTAAGAATTTTCACAAAATTGAAAAATATATTTTAGCGCCAAAAACGCAAAAAAAGTAAAAATTAAACAAATTGCCCTGTGTAACAAAGAAAATTTCTTACATTATATTAAAAACTCGCAATCCTTTTTTACAAATTAAAACAATTTTAATTAATATTCAAATCAAAATTTAATTTTACACACAGAGAAGAATATAATGTTGGCGATATGGTTGAGGTTAAAATTAGAGATAAATATTATCTTGCAGAATTAATCAAAATAAATGATAAAAAGTTTACTGCAATAATCAGAGGAGATCGTGACCTGAACGGAAGAAAAGTAAAAGGAGGTACTTATTATGTGCGAAAGGCTTTGGAAGTGGGTGAATTAGTTGGGTTAAAGAACACGCACAGAGGGACTGGAGAGGACGAAGTTCTTCTGTCAAAAGTCAAAAAGGTGTTGGAAAATGGAAAATACGAAATTCAAGTCATACAGCGACCACTTTTTGGGAAAAACTTTGACAGATTCCCAAAAGAATTAACTATAACTAAAGTTTTTGCTGTTGACGAAGAGGTTGAAGTAGAATACAATGGAGTTTGGGTTAAGGCAAAAGTTATAGAAGTCCCTGATAGAAACCGAGAGACATATCTTGTCGAATTTACAGAACAATCTGGACTTTATGGAGAACGAGCAGACATATATGCCATCAACATGAGTAAAATTGAAGAGGGAAGTCACATACAGCACTAGTAAATCAAACCAAAAAACGAGAAAAACCCCATTTAAACTTTCCTTTTGGTCTTTAAAACTAAAATTATTTTTAAAAATTTATTTTTTAAATTGAAAATTTAAAAATACAGTGCAAAAGTATGAAAACACATTTTTAAAATAACAATAGGAAAAATCTACAAAAGTTGGAACAAACATTGGCTAAGTAAAGATAAAAAGGGTCTGAGCCTATATTTCATTTCAGTGTTGGGATCCCGGTAAGTGATCCTAAAACAGGGTTTAAATTTAAAAAATATTGTCGAAAAGGATTGTTTAAACTGTTTATTACGTGCTTATTCGAAAGCTTTTGAAAGTTGTCATAAACAAACAAATTTTCACACTTTAGAAAAATTTGACTTTCAAGATAAATAACCGATAATTCGAAATGTCCTTTTAAAAGAAGGTTAAACAGCGTTTGCGGTACTTTACACCCTTTAAGAAGGACCCTTTTTATTTAAAAACACGACGTTTAAAGGGCTTTTGAATAAGCACAAAATAAAAATTATTTTTTATGCTGATAAAGAATCATTGAAACTTCTTGGGGTGTTTTCATAATTTTGCACCTAAATGTATATTCAATTATTAAATTTCCAATTTATACTTAAAATATTTCCTCCAAATCATTCCAAAAATTGATTGAAAAACTGAAATATTTTAAAGGAAGTATTTTATGTAAATTTTGTTTGAACACAAAAATTATTTTGAAATCAAGTTAACTGTGGAGAGATTCTTACTTTTCGAGCACACAAATTTTGATAATTTTATGAATAATTGTGGAAAATATATTTCAAAATTCTAGGCACTCTCTATAATTCTGCAAAGAATTTCTTTTGTCGTCATAACGGAAAATAACCATATTTTCTCTCTAATATTTTTATAAAATCAACAAAATTTCTTTATTAATTAATTTTGTGTTCAAACAAAACAAAATTTTTTCAAACAAATCTTTTCTTTATTTAAAACAAGAATGTGCACAATTTTTTTGTTTACAATTCTCAAAACTTGATGAGTATTTAAAAAAAAATTATTTTTTAGAGCGCCAAATATTTTTTATTTTCATCAAATACTTTTCTGATTTTTAGTGGTTTGGAAAAGACGGGGAAACATTTTGGAACTCCCATAGGCCATCGGGCATACAAATAAGGGCCGGGCATTTAAAGAGAGAAATAATGCCTAAAAGTTTATCTAAAAATTAGTTTTGAGTTTTGTAAAATTTTTTTGTTGTGCACATTCTTTATATTTAAATTCTGTCAAAATTAGTTTTTTTTAATTTATTTTCTTTTACAACAGAGAAGCAACTTAAGTTAGTATTATGTTCATGCTGTCGAAAAATTCATTGTTTGGGAGATTTAATAGAACCATAATGGATTGAGCCCAAACCAAAGCACAACCGACTGTGCTCCCATCCAATCAAATAATCCAACCCGATGACTTTGTTGCTTTTCTACTTTTCATAAACAATTATTATTTTACCTAATTTTCTTTTTCACTAATTTTTATATTAATTTATTTCTCATTTTCAAACATTTTTTCGTATAAATCTGGGTAAAAATGTAATTTTAATTTAATAGAATTTTATATAAATTAATTACCGTATTTACTCTAATTCTAATTGAATGACAGTCATTCTATTTTTCAATATCCCAGAAATTTGTCATTCAATTAGAGAGGTCATTCAAATAGAGGCGGTCATTCTATTTTTCAATGACCAATTATTTTAAATTTTATCGAAAATTTATAGAAATAGAGAGAAATAGATGTGAGCGTTGGCAGATTGAAAATTAGACTTATTTGATAATTCTGAACAAAGTTATAAGCAATTGTGTCACTACGAAGGATAGGTAGTCTTTTCAAGGTTAAAAATCGGTAAAAATGAATAGGTTTATGTTACTGGTGTAGAACCCAGCGACCTTTGACTCCTCGCGAGGCGCGTGCCGCAAAACCCCGCGCGAAGCGCGGGGTTTGGGACTCAATTACTTTGGTTGATTGCGCGACCATATTGGGCAACTTCAGTAAGCGTTTATACGTGTATATCTTGGCTGAGGGAAGACATTTTGGACATTTGTTATAATCTTTCTTTTCCTTAGATATTAATGAACACTTTTTCATAGAATTTATAAAATTTAAGAAAATATTTGAACTGAATTTTATGCTTAAAAAAGTACGGGAACTTTTGCCGCACCCTGTATTATTTTAATAACTATTAGTATATTTTTTGAGAGAAGAATAAATTTTAGAAACTTTTTTATTTCACCATATTTCCTTCTTTTTAGCGCCCTCTAATTAAATTTTAATAAAATTTCAAAAATCGAAATTTCGAGCAGCTTTGCTCTACTTCGTACCGGGTACGAAATCGAGGATGACCGATCTATTTTAAATTTGTATCTTCTTTCCCTCTCTTTCTATAATATTGCCAACTCTTTTGAATTTTTATAGAGAATTCGCGGCACATTAAAAAGATTTTCCCTATTCATTTAGAAAATTATTTACTATTGCTTTTAATTTTTTTCATTCAAAAATTTTTATAATAATTTTTAATATTTAATTTTAATAAGTTAAGACATAAAAAATAATTTAAATTTTAAAAGTTAAGAAAAAATGAATTTGTTTTTATTAACTTTAATTTTTTCTTTTGAATTAATTCTGCTTGATTTGGCTAACGGAATGTATTCTGAAAGATGTTAGTAATTAGAGTTTAACTCTTGTTATGTACATATAGTCCCCCTTATTAACCGACCGATATTTGGATTATAATAGAACTGGGAATATATCGTTTAATGTTTTCCTAATTACCTAGCTATAGCTGGTCGGATTTGGGCCCCGATATTCACAAAACAGGCCTGAGAATTTATTTTAAAAAAGATTTATTGTATATCCGGTAAAAATTACAGACCCTTTAACTCATTAATTAAAATTTTCTAAAAGTGTATTTCATTAATAAATAAAAATTAAGCCGGAAGAAAACGAGGTTCTGGAAGCTCCAGTTCGAAGAATAAGAAAGAAGACGAACATTTGGCAGAGGAATGCATTAATTTGGGTGGTGAAAGTCGCTTTTACCCAGGGTTTGCATTAAATTAGTCTTTCGTTTGTATTTCATTAAAAATATATTTTCTTCTCGTAACTTACCATTTTTTAATTTTCGCCCTGCTTTGATCCCGATGCAAATCCCGATTCTATAAAATGCTGAGAAAATTCGAATAACTGAAACAAAATAAATGAGCAAAAGATGGGAGGCGTAAGAGCTGAAATTTAACTGTCACCATAGCGCCTTCTAAGAATTCTTACAAAATTGAAAAATAGATTTTAGCGCCAAAAACGCGGAAAAAGTAAAAATTAAAGAATTTTCCCTGTGTAACAAAGAAAATTTCTTACATTATTTTAAAAACTCACAATCCTTTTTTTATAAATTAAAACAATTTTAATTAAAATTTAACACACAGAGAAAAATATAATGTTGGTGAAATTGTTGAGGTTAACATTGAAGGTGATTATCATCTTGGAAAATTAGAAAAAATAAATGATAGAGTGTTTACTGCTGTAGTCATGGGAGGTGATCTGAACGGAAGAAAAGTAAAAGGAGGTACTTATTATGTGCGAAAGGCTTTGGAAGTGGGTGATTTTGTTGGATTAAAGAACAAGCACAGAGAGACTGGACAGGACGAAGTTCTTCTGTCAAAAGTCTTACAGATATTAGAAGATGGAAAATACACAATTCAAGTCATTCAGAAACCACTTTTTGGGACAAACTTTGACAGATCTCCAGGAGAATTAACTATAACTAAAGTTTTTGCTGTTGGCGAAGATGTTGAAGTAGAATATAAAGGCGTTTGGGTTAAGGCAAAAGTTTCAGAAGTCCCTGATGTAAACCGAAAGAAATACATTGTTAAGTTTACTGAACGATCTGGTCTTTATGGGAAACGAGCAAGCATATATGCTATTAACATGATTAAAGAGGGAACTCGCATACAGCACTAGTAAATCAAAACATAAATCGAGAAAACCCCCATTTAAAATTTCCTTTTGGTCTTTAAAACTAAAATTATTTTTAAAAATTATTTCTTTTTTAAATTGAAAATTTAAAAATACAGTGCAAAAGTATGAAAACACTTTTTTAAATAACAATAGGAAAAATCTACAAAAGTTGGAACAAACATTGGCTAAGTAAAGATAAAAAGGATTTAAGCCTATATTTCATTTCAGTGTTGGGATCCCGGTACTCAGAAAATCAACCTAAAACAGGGTTTTCATTCAAAAATAATTTCGAGACGGATTGTTTAAACTATTTATTTCGTGCTTATTCGAAAGCTGTTGTGTCCGAGGGTTGTACGAAAATCGACGTGCAATTGATTAACAGTTTATCCAAAGAGAAATGACAATATGTAGGCGAAGGGATTGAGGTTGGACAGACGAAGGAGATCAGGGACTAGCCGGGCTAGTATGATCCAATTAGACTGACGCTTAGTGTGGCTTTTATAGTAGTGTCACCACTACACAACAAAAGCTATTGAAATTTGTTATAAACGAAAAAATTTTCAGTCTTCAGAAAAATTTCCTTCTCAAGATAAATGAACTGATAATCTGATAAACTGATAAAACAGCGTTTGCGGTGTTTATATCCACTAAAAAGAACCTTTTTATTTAGAAACCCGACTGTTTAAAGGCACAAAATAAAAATTATTTTTTATGCTGATAGAAAATCTTTGAAACTTCTCAGGTGTTTCCATAATTTTGCACCTAAATGTATATTCAATTATTAAATTTCCAATTTATACTTAAAATATTTCCTCCAAATCATTCCAAAAATTGATTAAAAAACTGAAATATTTTAAAGGAAGTATTTTATGTAAATTTTGTTTGAACACAAAAATTATTTTGAAATCAAGTTTACTGTGGAGAGATTCTTACTTTTCGAGCACACAAATTTTGATAATTTTATGAATAATTGTGGAAAATATATTTCAAAATTCTAGGCACTCTCTATAATTCTGCAAAGAATTTCTTTTGTCGTCATAACGGAAAATAACCATATTTTCTCTCTAATATTTTTATAAAATCAACAAAATTTCTTTATTAATTAATTCTGTGTTCAAACAAAACAAAAATTTTTCAAACAAATCTTTTCTTTATTTAAAACAAGAATGTGCACAATTTTTTTGTTTACAATTCTCAAAACTTGATGAGTATTTAAAAAAATTATTTTTTAGAGCGCCAAATATTTTTTATTTTCATCAAATACTTTTCTGATTTTTAGTGGTTTGGAAAAGACAGGGAAACATTTTGGAACTCCCATAGGCCATCGGGCATACAAACAAACGAAGGAGGCCGGGCATTTAAAGAGAAATAATGCCTAAAAGTTTATCTAAAAATTAGTTTTGAGTTTTGTAAAATTTTTTTGTTGTGCACATTCTTTATATTTAAATTCTGTCAAAATTTGTTTTTATTTTCTTTTACTACAGAAAAGCAACTAATTTCAAGTTAGTAACATGTTCATGCTGTCGAAGAATTCATTGGGTGGGAGATTGAATAGAAACATAATGGATTGAGTCCAACCCAAAGCACAACCGACTGTGCTCCCATCCAATCAAATAATCCAATCCGATGACTTTGTTGCTTTTCTACTTTTCACAAACAATTATTATTTTACCTAATTTTTATATTAATTTATTTTTCATTTTCAAACATTTTTCCGTATAAATCTGGATAAAAATGTAATGTTAATTTAATAGAATTTATACAAATTAATTATTTAATGATACAAGTGGTGTGAAATCAGCCTCGACAATTATAGTTTTAACTTGAAAGTAATTAATTAACCTGTTTCCTCTCCCTCTAATTATATTTTTATTTAGTGAGATAATTTATCTTACAAAAGATCCACCTTAAAACATTACCAAACATTAACAATAAAAAATAAAAAGAAATGAGGTTTTAATATAATTCTTTCATTAAGATCACCAAAATCTCCAAAAAATTAACGGAACTTCTGTTTGGAAATAATCACAATTAATCACCTCGCGCCTGTTTATAATTTTTCGTTATAAATATTTTTACTGTAAATTCGATTTTACATGAGTAATTTAGCCGAAAAAGGAGATTAGAGGGGGTTGCCTTCTCTCTCTATAATGCCCAAATCTTGTCAATTTTTAGAAAAAGTTCGTGGCAAATTTAAAAAAATAATTATTTGATCCCAATATCTTTTATTTGAATAAAGTTATGTAAATAACATTTGCTCTGTGCAGGAAAAATTTTCGCGGCATTAAAAAAGGAAGGGGATAGGATAATTGTACAGATGCTAGAATATCTTATATAAATAAATTTTCTTTGTCACTTTAAATCTTAAATATTTTTTAAAAATTTGAACTAAAAATTTTTATCAGAACTACAATTTTTAAATACTAGAATAGAATATTTTTTCCTGAAATAGTTATGGTGTGAGAAGCTCAAATCCGTTGTTACCTTTTAAATATTTCATGTTTACGCGAAGTTATTGTCACTTATTGAAACCTATTTTGGAGTTTTGAAACCTAAAATAGGTGTAAGGTATTTGGAGGTAATTTATATCTTTATCACTATTTTGGTTATTTTTTCATAAAAATATGACTTTTTAATCAAAAATTTTGTAAAAAACTTTTAATTTTTATAAAAATATTTTTCTCAAAAATTCAAGAAATTTTTCCTAATTATTATTTTCAATTGATAATTTTGAAAAATAAAGTTTTTACTATTTTTATTTTACCTAAGGAATTTTTGAATGAAAAATAGAAATTATCCGGCATTTCTGTCCTTATTATCCCTTTATATCCGACCTTTTTTCACCTTATTTCTCCATTTTTGCAACCTATTTTTTTATTTTTGTCACCTACTTTGGCAATAAACACAACCTATCTAGGTACATATTTTAAGGTTTTAACAACCTAAAATAAAATAGATCCGATCCCTAGTAATAATGTAACTGTCAACAATGTAAAAATCTTTTCGGCTAATATAAGAAAACTAGTAAAGGAATTTAAAATTAACATTTAAAAAATTTTAAATATGTACATATTTGAAATCACGATATATCCGTCCCAGAAAATAACCCTTGTGAAAGAGTCGGCAAAATAGAGAAACTTCGGATATCCGTTTGATCCTACCTGACCAAAACCCGATTAGAAGAAAATTTTGAAAGTCCAGCCCAGAACCACACCCAACATTTTCTTACCCCGTGACATCCTTGGTCTAAAACTCAGGTCATATTTGTCGGACGACTTTGCCCATCTTTAATAGAGGTATCTGGATATTATCTGGATTTTGCCAATTCTAAATAATATGTTATCTTTAAAATATAGAAATTCTGTCTTTTAAAAGTACCAGAAAAGAAAAAATATAGAAAGAGGTACTCCTGCCGACTGAAACCCCAATTTACAATTTTGTAAAACGGACAGTCAGTTTCCTTGCCAAATATCAAAATAAGATAATTTACTACAAATTCGACTCATCTAAACATTTACACGTCTGACGTTCTCTCAACAGTTTTGAAGGCTCTGGACATGCCCTTTTATCTAAATTATTTGAATATTTTTAAAAGATTTGTGATTAATCGAGAGAATGAGGTTAAACAAAACTGACCATTTGAAGAAGCAAAATATGTTTTTGAGGCGGACCAACAACATCACCGTCTTCAGTATTTAACAAATCAACAACGTCAACACCCAAATATTCTCTCTCTCTTCTATTTTTACTTTCCTCCCCAATTATATAAACAAAATAGGGATTAATAACAAATTCTTCGAGTTTTGCTTTAAGAATTTTTTTCTCACCGATATTGAAGTAAAACAAGTAAAATGATGTTGTTGGAACCATAGTATATGGGTCTAAAACCAAATGTCTTTTTATGAATTCACATTCCTTTCGATTTAATGAATTTTTAACTTGAACTGAATTTAAGAAAAAAAATTTTTTTTAATTTTTTTCTGTAAAAAACCTTTATTTTGTAGGTAAAATAAAGGCAAATTAATTATAATATGTTTAAATTCTTCAATAGGAGAAAATATTGCCGGGTAAATTATATATTCCTCTGACTCAGCTTCTTGCAATGTTTTTAACATTTGATCACGCACTGAATTTAAATTTTGTTAAAAAAAAGATTATTTGACCCACGCCTAAACGTTCAAAATGGAGCTAGGTAAATCATCATCTCCAAATTCATAAACACATATGTACAAAACCCAAAAATTGTCATTCCCCACCCCCTCCCCCAATTAAATATGATATCCCTCCTCCCTCCCCTCCCTCCCAAGCATGTCATCCCCCCTACCCCAACTTTATAATCCTCCCCCCCCCCCAATATATCATCCCCCCTCCCTTCTCCAATCAATTTTTTGTTAATATGTCCATAATGGTCAGTCAAAATCTCTAATTTAAACATTATTTTCAATTTAAAAATCTAACCAAAAGAATATCCTTCGTATTCAAATTCAACATTATTTAAATTAAAAATATCCAATTCCTTTAATAAAGCCATAAAATAATTTGCTTTTACTTCAAATATATCATAAGCTTTAAAATATTCAACAATTGAAATTGTTTTACTAAAAATTTAAATAAAGGAAAAAAAAATATTTTTTATAAATTAATTACTTCATTTTAAGCAACAAATTGTCATAATAATGTTCGTTTTGACTTTCAAATAAAATAAATGAACGAATTAAATTTCTAGCGAATCCAAATAAATGCCAAAGAATGAAAATATTTCGTTCAACTAATGTTAGATTTATACATTTTTTGTAAAGTTGGGAGAGCAAATCAGGGCTTAATTTAATAAAATAAATTTAAATTATAAGTACATATATATAATTTAATTAATGGGTAAGAATTGGTAATCTTATTGAATCATTTAAGGATTAAAATTTATAACTCAGCCTTGCTGACAATTCAAAGTGCTAGGCTAAACTTAGAAACTTAGCTACCGTGCGGCAACTTTTCTAGTTTATGAATCCAACGTAGCCAACAAAATTTACTTGTTTATGATTTGAATGGAGGGTTTTAAACAAATTAGAGTAGAATAACTAAGAAAGCAAACAGGAAAGTAGAGGGGCGTATTAATAATCTTTAATCAAAGTATAATCACCAATGGATTAATTAGTAGCAAAAGTTAACTTTGTGAATCCAGCATACGGTAATTGAAGCAACGGTGAATCCCTAAAACCCTAAAATCTTAGAAACTTTCATGGTACTAATAAAGAGATACTACATACCAACACTCTATCAATATATGTTTTGTCATTCTCTTAATAAAATGTCATCAGCTTAACTGCTACCCTAAATTTTACCCAAATTTACCGTAAATTTTTAATTTCATTTCTAGCTTCTTCATAAAGATCTGTTAAATCATAACCAGGTTCATAAAAGTCTATTTCCAGCTCTATTCCAAACTCTACAAAAAATCCATCTAAAGAATCCACTGTCATTGTATTGCTTAACGAATCCAATCTTTCATTTATAAATTCAATTTGAGCTTCATAGTGGTTATTAAATATTAAATTACTATGTTGTTCTTGGAATTCTTTTAATAAATTGTCATAAAATTCAATAATCTGGTTTTAAATTAAAGAGTTATTTTTTTAAATTAACGAGTTATTAATAAATAGAATACAATAATTTCACACTTCGCTTAAATTATTTATAAATTACTTAAAAATCCCAAACGATCAAATTTTTTTATTCACTGAAAACTTTCATTAAACTAAACTCATTTAGAAGGTCTAGGTCGTCTGCTAATGGTTACGTATTTTACTACACGTAACCGTGTATATCAGTAGGGCTAAATATCGTCTCAACTTCAATTATTTGTATAATATTCATGCTGTGGAAAATTTCATTGGATGGAAGATGGAATAGACCATCATGGAAAGAGCCCAAATCAAAGCACAGCCGACTGTGCCATCATACAAAATCTGCATTCGGTTATCCTCGTATATATCCGCATTTTCTTAAAACTTTCAATTCTACAAAAATTAAAAATAATTCCAAGATCGAAAAGCTTCCCGAACTAAACTCCAATGTAAAACTGTACTTAATCTGTGCACTCTTTGATATAAGTCTGAGTTTTTAAGTTTCCTTAAACCAAAAATATACCTTTTCAACTTTTTTGAACACATTTTCGATCAAGTCACTCTTAGAAATTATCTCAAAATTTTTTTCATGTTTTGCCAGATCTCTTACTCCTAATGCCGTTTCTCCTTTCAACCCATCCAATACATGTTCTTTATAACCTCGAAGTAGCACTAAAAGTCCTTTATCATAATTTTTGGTTATTACAATTTTATCAACTTCAATCAGAATTCGAACAAGAAGTGACAATTCAACAAGAGAAAACGTCATATTCGGAAATATTGAGTCAATTTGAGTTGTTGGATGGCTGGGGCTATGCGGAGAACTTGGACCTTCAAACACTCCTTTTCCTTTATGACCTTAAATAGATTTAGCGATTAACATAATTTTCAGTAAATATCAGTTATTGCCTTTTAGATCTGTCCAAGACTCTTGATCTTGAGTCTTGAATCAAGACTTTTCTTGGGTTTTTTCGTAGGTGTGAGTAAAAGAAGAAGAAAAAGTTGAGATGGGTAAAATAGATTTTCTTTCCTTTTATTACACAAGGATGTGTGGTTGATTGGATATTGTGTTTAGAGTTGGCCGGTAACAGGTCCTAATTCCAAGGGAACCTCGGACCTACATACACCTTCACTCTCACTACATACATTTGCATGTTTTGTAGGGTTCCGTGACTTTTGCGCCGTGAACATTTGCGCCGCGACTTTTGCGCCGCGAATTTTGCGCCGCGACTTTTGCGCCGAGCGACTTTTGCGCAGGGGGACTTATGCGCCGCGACTTTTGCGCCGGGGGACTTTTGCGCCGGGGGACTTTTGCGCCGCCACTATCATTACTAAATATGAGAAACTACAGCCGGGCCTCACTATAGAAGATGTAGGATGGTAGGAGATCTCCGGATATCAAGATCCGGATTCATATCCGACCTACAATTTTCGGCTATCCGGCCTTTTTCAGATCCAGATATCAGAACCCGACAACCCCACACAATAGTGCACCCTCTTTTGGCAGAAAATCATGCCTTAATAGGGGTAGTAGACCAAATATCCTGATCCGAAAAAGTCAAGTTCTTTGAAAATGACCCCTCTAGGGGGTTGGTTTATTTTTTAACCTTCCTCTAGAGGGTCGTTTTATTAGAAGGGGCTATTGTACTTCCCGAAATATTGCACTTCCTGAAATTCCTTCAGCTCCTGGATACCATTTTTTAAGGAGTACCCTATAATTATGTCCCTCTGTAGATATTATTTTTTTTAAATTATGGCGGCGCAAATGTCGCGGCGCATAAGTCGCCCGGCGCAAAAGTTGCGGCGCACAAGTCGCTCGGCGCATAAGTCGCGGCGCAAAAGTCGCGGCGCAAAAGTCCCCCGGCGCAAAAGTCGCGGCGCAAATGTTCTCGGCGCAAAAGTCGTGATACCTTTTGTAGTAAGGATTAAATAAAAATTTTTTAATTTAATTGGCTTTTAAATTAAATATAAGAATAAAATAAAAAGCATAGAAACTCTTTTACATAATTAATTTTTAAAATTTATTTTTTATTTCAAAAATTTTTATTGTAATAATTTTTAAATTATTTATTTATTTTAAATAAAGAAAAATATACGTGAATGTTCCATTCCTTTTATCATTTTAAAATAAATGGAATTTGTTGAAAAAAATAAAATTAAATAGAAAATATTCATTTTTAATTTTAAATAAATATTTTTTTAATATTTTTTAATGAGGAGAGGGAATGGAGGGAGTGGAATTAATTAAAGGAGGGAAAATAAAAAAATAAAATAGTAATGCGATAGTAAAGTGATAGTCAGGCGCCGCTAAAATTTATCGAACTTGGCAATCAATTTAAAGATTTCGTAATAGCTACTAGTGAATTAAAGGACTTGATTTAAGTGGAGAGAGAGAAAGCATGTTTGGCATGTTTTTTTGGCCAGTTTTGTTTTTAAAGAAATGAATTTTTTAAATAAATAATTTTAATTAAAAAATTATTTTTTCTAGTTTTTCTTATCAAAATTCAAAACTACTACTACAACCTTAGATTTAAAAACCAAAAAAAGTTTTATGTAAGTATAATTAACCAGAAAATATAGAGTAAAATTATGTAAAAGTAAAATTTATTAGGCTACATCCCTTAAAATCCGCACAAGCTCTCGTCCCGCTATTTGCAACTTTAATCTTTATATAGAAATAAATTTAAAAAATAATTTGTTATAAAAAAATAAAAGTAATACAAATATAATTCGTCAAATATATTTTTGAAAAAATTTTTTACTATAAATCAACTACATATTTTTTTTAAATAATTCTCAAATTTGGCCATCAATTGGATCTAATATATTCTTGCATGTATTTTTAATCTTAAATATTTAAATTAAAATATAAAAACCCCTCCCGATCAGGGGTGTCCGCAAACGAAAAAAAATCCGCAAGTCCAAAAAACCACGCAATTTACGCAATCCGCAATTGCGGACACTCCTGTTCCCGATTGGTACTTTTATATTCTCAGCTTCTTGTTTTCTTTAAAACTAAAAATTACAGACTATGTATATAATTTAAAACTATTAAATTTAAAAAAGGCTAAACTACCTCTTTAATTATTTTATAACGTTTATTTATTTTCTCATCATCCCCCTCAACATTTATAACATTATCTTGATTACCCCCTTTCAAACATTTAGTTTCTTCTGAAATTTCTTCAATCAAAAGAGGATTAATTATATGTTTTTCAAGTTTTAATTGAATAAATAATTCTTCGTTTAAATTGTCGAGTAATTCATATAATGATTGTTTTTTATTTAAATTTAATTTTTTGAGAATTTTAGAACAATCCTCTTTGGTTAATTGTTGTGGCATTGCTTGAATTTTATTTTAAAAAAAATAATTAAAAATTGAAGGTTAAATGTTCTGGCATTGCTTGAATTTTATTTTAAAAAATAATTAAAAATTTAAAATAATTATATTACCATAATTTCGATACAATAAAGGGAAGGAATTGACTTCGCTATCGGTGTACGGAATTTTCGTCTCTGGAAATTTCGTCTCCAAGGTTTTCGGAAATTTCGTCTCCAACGTTTTCGGAATTTTCGTCTCCAGCGGAATATTCGTCTCCAAGACGAAAAAACGGAATATTCGTCACTGTACTTTTAGGCGCGGAGAATTTAGGGCGTCGGAGTGAATTTTTTGATTTATTCGAAAATAACACAAAATCAACCTACGCTAGCCTATAAAACTATACAAATACAAATGGATCTGGACAAAAT